CTGCCGCTGCCACTGCCGCTGCCGCTGCCACTGCCGCTGCCGCTGCCACTGCCGCTGCCGCTGCCACTGCCACTGCCCTTGCCACTGCCACTGCCGCTGCCATTGCCGCTGCCATTGCCGCTGCCACTGCCGCTGCCGCTGCCATTGCCACTGCCACTGCCGTTGCTATTGCAAGGCATAAGTAACTTCTAAAATTAAGAAGTAATTAATACAGGTAAACAGCAATGTTCCAGCAAAATAGTAAAGATGTAATGATATATTGTGACATCTAACTGATCAAGATTTCAAGCACTTTGGTTCATTTAGATTTGCGACTGATTCCCTTTGGTGAAGAGTTTAAGAGGAGAAACAACAATTTTATACACTGTCTTTAAGGTGCAAGTAAGTGACGCAGAAGGTATCACGTTACATTTACTTAATAGGAATGTTTTTTTTTTGTAATTCGCCTCCTTTAATAATTTCATCGAGATAAGTTTAAATGTACGTTTTACACGTAGAAGTCTATGATAATGACAATCTTTCTGCCACCCACCTCGTCAGAATAGGCTCACCATAAATCAGCCAGTGAGGCATTTCCATGGCTACTTGGTATCACTTGACATTTCACAATAAATTTGCTTACGGTCATTTAATCATGAGCTCTGAAGCGGCAAATTCGAATGCGAACTCACTATGAATAACCGACAATAAGAAAGAACGTGAAAGCCGTTATTGGCCTGTGGATCACTGACGAAAATTGCTTCTCTGACCTTCTCGGAATTTCCAAGAGGAAAGTCGTATCTACAATTATAACCCCCAAAAGATACATTTTTAGGAAGCGTTCTACCGTTTCCAAATTCATTTTGGCTTCAGGCCATGCCGTTCTCAAATTTGTTGTGAACGGCAATTCGGCAATTCAATTGAGCGATCAGTTCCAAAAGGAATTACTAATTCGGAATTAGAAATTTGTTGGTTAATGCTATATTTCTTCTCTTTACATTGACTGTTTGGAAACGACAACGTGCTTCGCAATCTCGAAAACATGAAATTCCTCCACGTTAACCCGTTTTGTAACAAGCTATCTTGATCTAAGTTTCGCTGAGCATTTTCAGTGGCTGTAGTTACCTGGTTATTGTCGTTGCTTTCCATTATAGCTTCCTTCTGTCTTTCTCGAGTTCCTCAACGTGCGTTATGGAGTATTGGACCTACTGGATTAAGTTGCTGTTCAAATGAAACAAATCAACCTTTCCCTTACAGACATCACACAAAACTGAGAGAAAATATGAAATCAAAACCACCTCGTGTTATTTAAATAACTTTGTCAAGTTGCAATGTGGCAATACCTCGTGAAACCCGTTGAAAGCGCTCGATCTTGCATTTTTAGGAAACAACACACCGGTAACAAGAGTAAAACAAAACAAAAACCTCATTGATAAAAAGTGACAAAAGTTCAAATGAGGCCTGAAACTACTGTAAAATTGATTGATGTTAAAACCTTTTAAAATCCAAGCTTTCGCCGATCCACGGCATCATCGGGGATAAGGAAAATATTCCGCGTAAGGCTTAATTACAAACGTAATGTAAAAACGTGTGAAAAGCGAAAGAATGCCGAGAGTAAAATGTGTAAGATAAATAATAAGGTACAAATATGAATAAAAAAGGGATAAAATCATCTAATAAGCGGGTGGTATTGTACAAAGAGCCTCTCTAGATATGATAAAACAGTCATTAGAACAAAAGATCCACGAATTTGCTGCATTCCTCTCGGGAACTGAGGGTATGTGTGTACTTTCGTATGTAAAATGCTTCGAACAGGCGTAAGTTTGCGGGGTCGTTTTCCAGTACATGGTATTGATTTCGATGCCTTTGTGGACTTCGTTGTGGCACTTAGAAATATGTTTCTTTACAGAGGAGTTTTTGTTGTTTAGGTGGCTTCCTCTAGTTTTACGATCGCACGTGCGCATAGGACGAAAGCTCAAGTAATCTGCGCGCTCTCAAAGGAAAACGTCAGTGGTTTTTCGATATTTTATGACGCCAACATGAGCACAAAAAGCAAAACTGACAGTGAATTTTGTCGCGTTTCCTACTGTGAAATTCCGTAAAATTTGGCAGATTGGTAATAAATATTTTACTTTAGTTGGAGCTCGTTTTTCAGCGGAATCTATCCGACCAGTTTTTCTGTAGCGGTAAAAGACATAAATCTGCAAAAATCTAAAAAAAAGCTGTCCGCACAAACCCTACTTTTTTCGTGTTTAAAATTCGTATCCCGCCGTATTCAATGTACCGTAAAAATTTTGGACAACTTCACAGAAGGAAATTCAACCAAATCATAAATAAACCATAAAAACGGTGAAAAACGCATTTGTTTGGGTATTTATAATTCAACAATTAAAGCCAAAAAAATCTAAATCCAAGATTTTAACAGAGATGATAGTAAATCAACATATCATCATTGCTTAATACATTTAATAGGTTTGAAAAGACTGGGTGTGAAAACGAATGTAAAAACAGCATTCAAAACATAACACTAGCGCGCGCAACGTGATGAATGATTACCCTATGGAGCCACCTTAACACGATCGTGGATAAAGCGTGTAGTGCTCCCGATGTAGTGTTGATTGCAGTTGTTACACGTGATTTGATAAACAGCGTTTCTATTTTAGTAAGCACAATTTGGTGTTGGAGGTAGGGCAGTTGTCCCTCGTGCATGTCCGTTCCGTGGTGTTGTGGGAGAGAGCTTGTCTGAGGGTGTATGACTTGTGCGTGACAAGTACTGGTATTTCCTCTTTTCGGAAAATATGCTAGTGATCCTGTAGTCGAGTAGTTCAGAAATATATGGAATCTTGAGGTACGACCATTCTGTTTTGAAAGGTCGATTGTCTTTCGGATAGCTCTGGGGGTGTTTCGTTTGTTCTATGCTGATATCTGAATACCCATGAAGACGGAGGATGTCCTCAAACATGTTTAGATGCTTTGTGGTTGTCGTTTTTGTAGAGCGTTTATCTTGGATATGTTTCAGTTCATTACTAATGAAGTTGATCCTTGATTTTCTTGGCCGGGTATTGCTGATTGATGGTGATTGAATAGTGGTTTCTTTGCTGTCTTTTTTTTTGTAAAATTCGAAAGAGCTTTTGCCGTCTTTAGAGACGGTGACTTTGAAATCAAGTAGTGACAGTGAGAGGCCGTTGGGTGTTATTTCTAATTTCTCAATTTTAAACGTCAATTTAGGCTATAGATTGTTCATTGTATGGTGTAATTGGTCTGCCATTCCCTCTGATCTTTCGAATTGTACCATTATACTGGAAAACAATCCTGTAAACCTACGCCTGTTCGAAGCATTTTACGCACGAAAGTACAAACCTACCCTCAATTCCCAAGAGAAATGCAGCGAATTGGCGGAACTTTTGTTCTAATGACTGTTTTATCATATCTAGAGAGACTCTTCGTGCAATGACACTCGTTCATTAAATCATTTTATCCAAAAAGAAACTCTCGCACTTAGGGGTCGTGAAAAATTCGACAATTCATTTTATTCCAAAATTCTTGGTATAGTTTGATAGCCAGGTCTGAAATCTTTAATTTGATATGGGGTTAAGGTATCTACAGCTTAAAACGAACGCGCGCGCTACATCGCTTGGTCACGAGAAACCTCTAAAGGTATACGGTAACCTTACAATGGTTTCACGTCCAATCGTGTTTTTCACAAAATTCCGTAATTATATTATAATTTCACCAGTCTACGTTGCATAACGTTGGCCATATGTAAGAAAGACTTTATTGTCTTTTTTATTCTTTTGATGTTTAATTTTTGTGTTAGTTTTTAATTCTTGAAACATCTCTGACAGTGTTCGTCTTCATTTCCACAAACATCTATCCACGTGGCGTTTTCTGTAGGCTTAGGGTGATGTCGTTTGGTTTTATGATCAAATACTATTCGCACAGGAATATATTTAGCTGCCAAGACACCATTCCTAGAAAAAAATAAGAGGCAACAAAAGGATGTTACTGTAGAATTCAATAATTTGGTTTGCAAGTTAAGCTTTCAAACTAACCAGTGTTGTCATAACAACAACCAAATTTTGCATTTTATTCAAAAGTAACAAAAAATAAGTAAAGAGATAAATTAAAAATTCGCGATGTTTTTGTCATAGTAGGGAGCATACGAACAATGTCTGGATTCTAAACTCCAGCTAGTATTTTATTTAAAATACAGAATTATGATCCTAACAGCACTGCGACCCCTTCCCCATCCCCTTCTTAAGGTAGTGACTTGGAATATTGAAAACCTTCCCAATCACTTTCCTAATTACTGAAGGTTTAGTTCTGTGTTGTTAGAAATACGTGGCCTGTTGTACTAAGATCCCATACAGGTAGAATGAAAATTCCATAATACGTTTCATATCACGGGAGCGAGAGGTGCCAAAGGATCCTTGAAACTACAAACTGATTAAACAATGGTCAATTCGTTACACCTTGTAACTGTAACTTGAAGAATCCGGCTTAACTTGAAATTTTCACAGTTTCCAAGAGTGTAGCTTTCGTACTCTTTGATCCGCTGTTCATCAGGTTTCACTTCCGGTGCTCCATACAGCTTCTGTTGAAAGATAATATCGATATCGAGTTAAACCCGGGATGAAATCATGGCAAATATGAAGGTCGCTAAAATACACGACAAAGAGGGTCGTTCAGGGGTATTCTCGTGATGTGTTGAATTTATCTTCTGTGAAACGTGAATTTAAGAACGTTTTCTTCGGGATCCGTGGCCTCAAGGTTTTGCATGACCCGCAAAGAACTTGATTTACTAGCCGATATTCGTGATTTCACCTCTCTGTTCTACGTGATATTGATAACTGAGTCCTCCGAATGGTTAGAGTCGTCTGTTGAAAGTGATTTAGGTATGCGATTTGCAATAAGGAGCCTTTACTTAGTCTTTCACGATTTTGCTTTCTTTAAACACTCTTTCTAGCGTGAAAGCAGGACGTTAAAAAGGCACCTTACCTGCTCAAGTTCGTAATTCGGGAAAATGAGATTTTGATATTCCTTATCCGTGATTCGCTATTTTTTCCACTCGTGAGCCGTGCCAGAGACCTCCCCCCCCCCCNCTTCTGACAAGATGCTGATCAGCTTGACACAAGC